AAAAATGGCTCATGATTAATTTTTCAGATAATCCTGCTTGATGTGGTCTTGCCTGATTCGCCTGCCGAAAAAGCGGGTTTACTTCAGGGCGATCGTCTGATCGGCTTGAATGGGCAAACGCTGGCGGCCAGTGATACAGCGACCATCCTCACCTGGCTCGGCTCTTATCCGGCAGGAGTACCGCTTCATGTGACCGTGGAATCAAGACCAGTTGGCCCTCAGAAGCCATCTGACACGCCATTGATTGCTGGATCCTTCAGCAAATTGGCAAGCTCTCTAAACACTCCTGACTTGAAAGAGGGCTCCGGTATCTGCCAAGTGTGTGCCACGCTTCCAGATTGCCAGGAGAGTTCACCACGACCGGTACAGCGCCACCGGTCCTGTTGCGAAGACGATGATATTTGCATCTCTCCTCTCGCATACAACCAATTAAGGGACGACACCTTCAATAAAGCGTTGCCACAGTCCACGATGGACACTCTACCACCAAAGGTTGATCTCAAACAAGGGTCCTGTTCAGATTCTTCTTCGACATCTTCATTGATGTCATTACATTTAATGACACCTCCGCAACAGCAGATCACTCAAGAGACAGCAATGCATACCTTTGGGTAGGTGAAATTGACAAATTCGCTGCTTTGGTACTTACAAAAAATTATTATTCAAACTGAAACACCACTTATTTCTAAATCATTTAGCCGGTCGGCGAACCAAATGGTATCTTGGACAGAATACTCCAAAAACCAATAAGAACAAAAGTTTTATTAATAACTTTACCAAAGATATCTTTTACACTAGAAAATGGTACGTTAATATCCGCACATGTATCATAATTTTTCCAATCTGAAAGTCCTGTTTGCAATTGGTACTTTGGTGTTCGGTTTGAGATGACCGAAAAAGGTTGCCTATGGGCGATTCCTAAGGTTTCACACGAAGTGCATCCAGAAGTTTTTGCTCTAACCTCACTTTTTTAGTTTGAAGGAAAATTTGCTCGGAACGAACTCGCAAAATGAAGTGTCCGTATTTTTGTTGAATTTATGCGAAGAAACAAGCTTTCATATTTATCAGTTGACCGATATTGTAAGAGCCAGCAACTATTAGTAACGAACAATACAGTAAAATCACTCAACCACGAGATGCGGCCGACTTGAATCCTATCTACTTGTTGTACTTAACTTTACGATCTCAATGAGGTATCCCATATTTTGGTTGACTTCTTCATGATTGCTGAGGAGTGATTAGTCTTCACGTCAAAGCACTATTCCCTTCGCTTGCGAATTTTTTCAAGAGGAATTTACTTTTAAAATGAAAATTAATGTTGTAGAAAATAGCAAAAGTATTCTGTAAAACTCAGCTTTCTTTTGTGTACAGTAAAATGTCGTCAACTCGCTTGACACCGGACATATTTCTTTACTTTGTCAACCTTTAGGCTGTCCCCGTCTTTCGGTTTGGTGTGATTCGGAAGCTTGGTACTACCTAATCGAGGCATAGTAAACGTGACAGAGGTTAACGGATTGTGCAGACAGTGTGTACTGGGGTCGTAGTCACTGTGATGGAACAATAAGATAAATATGATTAATGTGAAAAGAATACTTTCTTTTTCGTTACCTGTCTATTCCTTTTTTATGCATTTCTTACTCATAGACTACTAGTCTTTGAAAAAATATCCTTAAGATGACCTACTTACTGCAAAATATTTATTTTTAAATGTAATCCATCTTAAAGTTAAACAGTATATTGCTTTTCAAGAGAATATGGGGCAAACAAAAGTACACATTTACGCAAGTAATATGATCTGAAAGTATGAATCAATCCAAACTTGCTCGGACAGGATAAGAAGAAGGACAATGTTGATCTAGAGTTTCAATTGATACTTGTCTGTAAAAAAAATGGGCGTAACAAATGTAAGCACTAAGAAA